GGGGGGGGGAGGGGCAGAGAGAGAGAGGGAAACACAGAATCCAAAGCAGGGTCCAGGCTCTGAGCTGTTAGCATAGAGCCCTACACGAAGCTCAAACCCACAAACCACAAGATCATGACCTGAGCTGAAGTCGGATGCTTAACCGACTGAGCCACTCAGGTGCCCCTCATTTTAACCATTTTTAAATGCACAGTTCAGTGGCACCAAGTATCTTTACACCATCACCACCAACCATCCATAGAACCTGTTCATCCTGCAACACTGACTCTCTGTGCCCATTAAACAATGACTCCCTCCATTCTTCTCTGTCTCTAGCCTCTGGTAACCACTATCCTACTTTCTGTCTTTAGGATTTTGACTACTCTAAGTACCTTATATCTATGGAACCTCTTGATAGATTTTTGAAATATTAGATTATTTTTAAATTGCACAGACTTTCTTCAGTAACAAAACTTGGGAGTGGACAAAATTCTATATCCCGTTTTGTCTTCCATATTGCTATGATCACCTTCCTTGTGTCACACAAGCACCTTGGGGCCAGGGCAGTGCTCACCTGTGTAGGTGTAATGTGGCTGATGTCTTCAGATGCAAGCTGCTTCAGAAGAGTGGTCTTGCCAGCATTATCCAAGCCCAGGAGAAGGATTCTCACCTCCTGGTCTGGTGCACTTTTCAATTTGCGCAAAATTGAGAGCAAGCCCTTAAACAACCATGAAGAAGACAGATTACTTTTGGGGCACTGACTTTGATATTACTGGATATCAGAATGTCTTCTCCTCCTTGAAAAACGTTCTTGGTTGTGGAGAGCTCATCGTATTATTTTCCAGTTGAAAGTGATTTATTCCATTTGCCGCCTCCTTCTAAGTTTTGGCAGAAATCTTTCAGTAAATTTTGCAATTTAGTAAGTACCATGGCTTATTCCTGCTCCTCCTATTAATCCAGCTTAGCAATCACCCCAAATCTTCTGGGATTGTGAACTACTAATCTCATACTCCTAAAGCCCTTCCTGTGCACTTAGTAGAGCACACATCATATCAGACTACAGGGCATTGATTGCTGCATTTTTCTCCTTTACCAGAGTGAAGTTTCTTGTAGGTAAGGGCTATAGCTTCAGTCTCCCCAAATGCTTGGCACTTATAGATAGACACTAGATAATAGTTGTTGAATTAAATAAAATTATCCACCCAGTAAGTGAAAGATTTTAAGATGCTATACAAAAACAAAAACAAAGTTGTATAAAATTGTATCTGAGCTGTTTAAAACTTTATTTCAGTTTACATTTAAGACTTCATCATTCAAAATGCTCTACCATCAAAAAATATATATATCCTCATCTAAAAAAAAAACCACACAACCTCTATTATCTAATTTTCACAAGATCCTTATAGGTGCATGGTAGAAATTATGTTTTTCAGATGAAAAATCTGATACAACAGAGAAGTTAGAAAATTGTCAAAGTCAGTCACGAATAAAAAAAGTCAAAATTTAACCAGAGTATTTTTGACTAGTAATCTGATATCTGTTCCTTGTTTTTGTTATTTTTTTTAATGGCTGGAAATAAATCATATTGGTTTTTAGCTACGAACATAAGAAAAATCATGTAAGATGGTTATTTGTTCTGTCCTGCAGCTGACAATCTCGTTCCAGTAAGGCATGAGTTACAACAAGAATCAAAGAATTCCAGAGTTTAAAGGGCATATAATCTAATCTCCCAGCCCAAACAGAAATTCCTTCAAGCTGAGTCTTAGAATTATATAAAAATGGTTATATACTTTTATCCCTATTGCACCAGGCAATAATTCAAACCAGTCTGTTCACTAAGATCAAATAATAATTCTGTGAAATAATTCTCAACAATTGAGTCTTTGGACAATGATATGCAAATATGCATAATTATTAAGAATTCCTTTCTGCCTCAGAGACTCGTTGTTTACCACTTCCAGTATTCTGTATCTGCACTGACTTGCTAAGGATTACATTAACCTCTCTGTGCCTCAATTTTTTTCCAGCAATAAAATGGAAGATTTAGTTTAAAACAGAGAGACAAAATCTATACCAAAAGATTTGGGAAAGAGTGATTGAACAGATTTCAAACAAACAGATAGGCAGGACTTTTTTTTTTTTTTCTTAAGGGCATGACGTTTTTCTTTTGTTTTTATCTTATCTGGCCTTGAATACTTTGACACCATTCCTTTTTTAAACTATATTTATGAGAAGTCTCCCCGGCTTCTATTAGCTACATTGCAATCACTCATTTATAATACCACCTTTCAGAACAGTTAAAATTAGAATTCTGAGATCCTCAGGGGACTGGTAATATAAAAAGGCTAGAACAGGGAAAACACATTGTACTACTCATCCTGAGTTCTTGATTAGATGTCCTCATTACTTCTTCCAATAAAATTCTAAAATAACCAGAATTTATCACGTCAGTACATGAAATGACAGTACAGGTAAAAGTCTTCTCATGCATTATCTACGAGTGTAGAAATTATGAAAGATGTTTCCATAGACTATTTGCAAGGTTCAAAATGAACGTTTTAGGTTTTTTTCTCATGTGTCTTTTAAAACAAATCAGTAAATAAAAACCCTGCTTTCTAAAAAAAAAAAAACAAAAAACAAAAAACATGGCTTTCTGCAGGCTGAGACTTGTTACACATTGATTATATTTGAAATTGAAAAATGAAGAGAAAATAATTTCTTTTTGAAAAGGGAGAAGCAAAGCACAGAAGAGAAAACCATTCTAACTATACCTAAACGTTGTTAACTTAATGTATAAAAAAAATGATACTTCTATATTTCTAATGAGTAATTTTCCTTGAGAAACAATAACTTCATATGCTTTACCTTTAAGTGACATGACAGAGAAATGGAAAATTCTGCTACTATTTTCTTCTATCAAAGTGATAAATGGCATCTGAAGCATGGTCTAGGGAAGACAAATGCAAATACGGTACCACATCATATTAACCCAACTACTGAGGACAGGGGATCACAGGATTATCAGGGTTTGCTAAATAGGGAAGAGGATATTTATAGATATCAGAGTTCTGCCTGAAAGGTACAAAGTAAGCTGATTTAAGAGGCTGGAGGAAAGACAGAAGAATAAGTCTACCCTAGGTTTCTAAACACAAGGACCATACTTTATTTTAAATGTCGAATGAAGGGAGACAGCTATTGGAAGTTAATTTTATTGTGGGCCTGAGTTTTGCATATAAACATAAGGAAATGAATTTTTAAAGTGATTTTTTGGTTAAAATATTCATTCATTCCTTCATTCACATTAAACACCCACAATGTGCCCCAAGTGCAACGGGAGCAAAGCAGACATGATCTCCGTGTAGGATATGTCCTCCTCTGACACTGAATAAAGGCAATTTAAGAAATCAGAACTTTAGTTAATTGTATAAGGTCTGCTACCAGCATGTGTGCATATAAGTTATCTGCACCCTGGTGGACAGAAGTGGTCTGACTCAGCCACAAAACATTTAAACTTTCTACAGGCAAATTATGAATAGATGTGCTATTGACTACAGATATTTTATCTGCCTCAAAATCAGCTTCAACTCCACTACTGGCAGAGGCATGGTGCGCTGACCTAAAATGATGCAAACTAGGTCATTCAGAGAAACTGGAGTGGCGGAGGGGGAGAGAGGTGTGTGATGGTAGTGTGATGGAAAGTGTATGTGGCTGTGAGGAGCAGTTAAAATTTAAATATTAAAATTAGTAACCCAACTGTCAGGTACCTGCACTCCCCATAACTAGTTTTTTCTTTTTTTTAATGTTTATTTTTGAGAGAGTCAGTATAAGGAGGGGAGGAGCGGGGACAGAGGATTTGAAGCTGGTTCTGTGCTGACAGCCAAAGAGCCCGATGTGGGTCTCAAACCCACGAACCAGAAGATCGTGACCTGAGTCTAAGTCGGTTGCTCATCCCAGCACCCAGGTGCCCCACCCCCCTCATAACTAGCCTGAATGAAACTGACTTCAATTTATTTTTACCTCTTTAACAACAACAACAACAACAACAAAATACCCTGTTCACTGAGACCTTATTAACTTCCAGGAACTCCTATAGCTTTCATAGGGAGAAACTCACCCAAACTTGTCTACTTTCTCATTGCTCTACTAAATAAATACAATGTTTCCTGAGGAACAAAGTAGGGGCATTTCCCCAGGAGCAGTGGGTTCCCACCTCACCATAGTCCCAATAAAAACTTTATGGGTGAGGGGGGCACCTGGCTGGCTCAGTCAGTAGAGCATGTGGTTCTTGATCTTGGGGTTGTGAGTTCAAGCCCCACATGTGGGTAGAGATTACTAAAAATATATAAACTTCAACAACAACAACAACAACATTATTATGGGCTTTGGGATTTCATAGACTTGAATTCAACTTCCTTATATATATAATCCTGGGCATTTAGAAAACTGGAACAATACTCTTAAGAAAAATGCTATTAAGATGAAATGTGGTAATGTGTGTAAAGTATGGCGCATAGTAGGTATTCAAAGCAGTAGTTGTGGGTGTTTTTCTTTCATTTTTTTTCTACGTTTCACTGACCATTTTCTGACCAGAAAATACAATCTTGGGAACGAACTTCAAATGTTGAAAATGCTTGATAATTACCACTAGGTTCCTGTATGTAGAATGGACCCCATAAATAATTTCTGCGTGAAGAAGTCATCTATTAAATAATAACGATCACTCATGCACTAAAATTGCTGCCATCTTAGCATTTCACCAAAGACTCGATATCATAATGTGGGGATAAAATAGCTGACTAAATGTTCAGAGAAAACATTTGGGCTTTTAAATAAAAAATAAAATTTATTAGTCATAGCTGAAGGTTTAGAAAACAAAAACAAAAACCTGGGGCTGTCTTCCGTTGTACAGTTACCACAGGGATTCATGGGATACCAGATGTGACACATTTAATCACAGCACTGATGGTTTAAGTTCTATGTTCCGCTTTCAGTTCTAAGAATAGCTCACACTTTTGGAGATTAGAATCCAGAATGATTTGCCCTAATTTCATATTGTTCAATTTAGGAAAAAAGAAAAAGAAAAACAAAGTCTGTCTTGATCAATGAACGCAACAGTTGTACACAATAGTGTTGTTACACTGTCAATTTGCACCTGGAAACATGAGCAGTGGTTAATTTATTGTGTCCTGTAATTATAAATTAAACAATCATGAAATTACACAGTCCACTTAATTGATAAACAAACTGGGAAAAGTTAGCCAACTCTCATGCATTTCTCATGATGACATCTCATTCTCTGTTGGTTTGGCCTGACTTTTTCATTCCAATTCTAGTTGTTTTCTGTGTAAATATTTATATTTGTATTCATTTGTTGAGAAAAACTTAGCCTTTAAAGGGACAGCTCATGTATAAACGATTAATAATAAGAAAACATGTAAAAATCTGTTTAGCCTGGGGTTAATAAAACTGCAGTGTAGCAAGTGTGAAATGTGATTGGCAACTTCAGATCAAATAATTCTACTTTTTTTAAACAATCTGACAATGTAAAATCAATTTTTTTCCTATAAGAATTTACTCATTGGATAATCTGACCAAAGGTGCATGCATTTTTTTCCTTGCAGACATCTAGTTTTTTCTTCATAAATTAATGAACGTGGATCAATATTTTTAAAAGTCAAAAAGACAAGTAACTGTAAGTTTGAGTGCCCGGCTCTGTTCAGTTGGTAAGCCAACGAACCTATTCTAAGTGCTTCAAAGTCAATTTTGCTTTGACTTGCTCTAAAACTACTCAGTTCCATTTTAATACTCTCCATCTAACCACACAGAAATAAAAAAGGAACAGCGAGCGTGTCAACGGTCCAATCACACATCATAATTCACAATTAGAGAAAACTTTAATTAGGTCTGACAGGGAAAAGCCAATTGACACCCACTCCAGTTTTAATTTCCCATTCTTTTTAGTTTGGGGATCCCAAGATGAGACTAAGATCTTTGGTTCTGGTGTGGTCATATGAAAAACGTTGCAACAGGTTTGAAATGAAATACTAAGGACCGGGCAGCAAATTTGCCTCCATCAATATGGATTAAGAATTCACAGGAAAATCGGTCATCATCAACAAATAGCCTTTACGGAACCCTCAGCAAGTAAATGACTCGTTCCTGCAGAAGTGCGCCCGCCACGCAGCCACCAGGACCACGTAAAATCCACCAGGCATCCCTACCAAGCGGTACCTCTTTGTGTCCTGGGATTTACACCCCTCCCCCCAGAGGCCCGCACATCTCGAGGAAGAGGAGAGCTAGGCTACCATCTCTCCTGGTACCGCCAGGGCGACCTCAAAGGCAGTAGCTCTGGCCCTTCTCCTGGCTTCTGGCTGGGCCCCGGCGGACCCAGAGGCGCGGGCAAGTCGAATCCCTAGGAAGATCGAAGCCTGCTTGCGGAGGCTGCTATCCGCAGTTACTCGGATCCGCCCTCATCTCCTTAGTAAGGATGGAAACCCGGCTCTGTACCGGGATAGCCACACACCCTTCCAGCCCCGTCCCGTAGCTTCAGACCCGCTGCAAACCTCGCCTTCCTCCCCAGGCCCAGGTCTCCTTCCAAGGGCCCACCGTCGGGGCTCCCCGCTGCCCCCCGAAACCAATCCAGGACCCAGAAAGCAGGCTGAGCGCCGTTCCGTTCCCTCCTTGGCTTTAAACGTAGTGCCCCGACCTGGGCCTGAGGACAGGAGAGGGGTGATCGGTCAGCTCTGGAGGGGCCCGGGCCCCCACACTCACCATCCTCCCGCCGAATCCCTCCTCCTCCTCCTCCTCCTCCTCCTCCGGCCTCCCCCGTTACCAGGGGCAACTGCTGCGGCACCGCCCCCGACGTCCCTCGCACGCACAGCGGAGGAGCAAAGCAGTCGTACGGGGCGTGTTTCAGCTCCGCTTTCCCTAAAGTGCGCAAGCGTGCCAAAGTGCCCGCCCACTGCGCAGGCGGGCTGCTGGGTCCACGGGAGGTAGCGGCCCGCTGATGGAGACCGGGGGAATGGTTAAAGCTTGCCCACGTGGCTAGTGGGCGCTGCCCGGCCTGTGATTGGTCGGGAAGGAGCGGGGCGGGGGCGGGATGAGGGGCGGTTCCGGGCCTGGGCAGCAGGTTAGTACTGGCCAGGCTTCTAACGCAGGGTTCTTCTGTTGGCAGTTGTCTCAGTGCATTCTTTTCGGGGCCAGGTAAGGGGTCTTGGGAGGAGGCCGCTTACCACACCTTCCTTTAGGCCCAACATCCCGGGAGGGAGCTTGGATTTCTGTCCTGACTGCTCGGGAGGGGCTGCTGCCGGAGCTGGGATTCCACCTGCCGAAGCCACGTGGCGCGAATAGTAGCCTGGGGCTGCTCAGGGGCCTCTCCGTGTGGACCCCAGCTCCATAGCTGAGGGGTGGGGGCATTATGGGATATGCATCTTTCTCCACACCTGTGTTAGGGTCCTGGATGGAGGAGTCCCGGTGGTGGGAGGCTGCCTGTCGGAGGGCAAGAGACAGCCTGGGGATTGCCCCTGAACGCTGAGGTGAGCCGATGGCAGCAGGGGTGAAAGAAAGGCGTTTTGGAATGGCCAGGTTTTGCTAAGCAGCGTTGGACCAGGCGGTGCACCGTTTGCAGTCCTGGAGGAGGCAAAAAACGGGCCTGCACTTACAGGCAAGCAAGAGCGAAAGGGATTCTGGGTGGGTTGAGAGGTGCTACCTCCCACCCCTTCCCCATGCTGACGTCAGAAAGAGGAATTAATCTCATATGTACCAGGTCCTGTTCTGGACTCTCGCGACACAGCTGGGGACGAAATCTGCCTTCATGGAAATTACATCCTTCCTAGTGGAATGCTTTTCACATAAGATTTCATTTCATTTTCACGGCCCTAGAAATTGGTTGTTTTAAGCTATATAGAGTCGGGACTTGAACTCAGTTCTGACTCTTGAGGAAATGACTTTAACACTATTGTATTGTACAGGCAGGTGGAAAAGAACGACTTATATTTGTGATGTGAACCCAGAACTTTTTTTGAGTTGATAAAGTGTTGCAACTAATGACAAACCTGGACGTTTGCAGTCGTGTGTGTACCTCTTGCCTCCCTCACTGGTTTCTTGTGAGGATTATGTGAATTGTTATGTGTCAAGTACATAAAATACTGCCTGGCACATAGGAAGTGCTACATAGGTCTTAGCTATTATTGTTCCATCTAGGTTTTTGGGCTTTGCCCCTCTTCCTATAAGCAGGCTTTCCATTCTAGTTAAGATCACTGGAATGAAGGCAGATTTCCCCTGAATGGTCCTTAGCTGTTTATGCATTCAACTAAAGTGTGTTTTTAAACGTCTGCTGGCTGCATACTTGCTTCAGATTCTTGGAGAGAAAACTCAGTTCAGAACCTTGATTAAATAGGTGCAAGATGAATGGCTAATTCAGAGCCTGCACTCCTACCATCTACCCATCTGTAGCCTGTTGTTTCTTTTGTGAAAAAGTCAGGGCAGACTTCTCTTTCTGAATTGTCTGGTGTCTAACATCATGGTCTCCTTGGGGTCACAGCAGTGTATCTGGGCTTGCTTGTGTAATTATTAGCCTCATTCTTCCAACTTTCTCTAGGCAGCCTTGGCACCATCCCTCCCCCATCTCAAGTGGTCTTTGTGTTTGATCTTGAGTCTTTGGCTGCCTTGATCTTCCACTGATGCAAGTACCAGTGATGATGTTTTGTTTTTCTTCCTATGTGGGATACAAACAGGCAATCTTGAGTCCTTTCTCCACTTGCAAGAAGATACCTACAGGGAGTTTGGAAGCCTGTTCCCTGAGCTGTGATACTGTTTGCCAGAGAAAATCAACTTTTTTTTTTTTTTTTTTAAACATAAGCTGTATCTGTAACGTGGGGCTTGAACTCAGGAACCCAACATCAAGAGTCGCATGCTCTACCAACTGAGCCAGACAGGCACCCTGAAAATCAAATCTCTATAAGAAGGATGAGCATTACTTCAGGAGAGGTAATAAGTTGTTTCATTTTTCCTCTTTTCTCTCTTTTTTTCTCTCTCTCCTTCTTTCTCTCTCCCTCCCTTCCTTCCTCTCTCTCTCTCTCTCTCCCTCTCCCTGTAGTATGGAGAGGACCAATCTAACTGACCCTAAGCCTTGTGACCTTGGGAAAGTAGGCCCTAGCTATTGTCAGATAGTTGGATGAATGAACAGGATGGAAGCTGTTGACCACTATTGCTGTGGTTAGTGTAGGCTGTGTGTACCACGGATGTTCACCCTGCTGGTTCAATTGATGGGAACCTTTCTAAGCATCAGTTTCCTCTTCTGTAATTTGAGACCTTGGATCCCTTACGTATTTGAGCTGTGACATTCTCCAATCCTCAAAGGAAAGGGAATTATCGGTCAGTTACCTGTTTGATTTCCAGTTCCCCCCTTGTTCCCAGTAGTAGAACCATATTCCTTCAGAATTGGGGCCACCCTGGACATGATTACGACTTCTTTAGGGAATACTAGATGCAGCTCATGTAGGAAGAGGGAGCATAACCGTTAGAGCAAACCTAGGGACCATGTACCCCCTCCATGTAGGAGGGGTAGGCCATCAGCAGCTTTGTGACAGAAAGCCTGCTCTTAATTCTGTAACCAAGACAGGTTCTGAGTTTGACTTGAAAGAGTGATGTCCTTGATGCCTAGAGAGCCCGGGAATAAGCTGAAATGCATTTCAGGCAGGCAGTAAATATTTTTAGAGGTCCCACGAGAGCTACATATGAACCTTACAATCTGCCAGGGGAGGCTAACTTTACACAAATTACTGTACATGATAAGAAAGTGATGATTACAAAGCCAAGCATATTGCAAATGAAGATAGGATGCTGTGAGAGTATATGACAGAGGGGTTTGAGTATGCCATGAAGGAGTCCTGGACCTGTGCCCATTGAGGGGCAGGCAGCAGATATTTGGGAAATGTTTTATTTATTATTATTTTTTAATGTTTATTCTTTTTTGAGAGGGAGAGAGAATCCCAAGCAGGCTCCACGCTATCATTGCAGAGCCTGATGCAGGGCTTGATCCCACGAACTGTGAGATCATGACCCGAGCTGAAATCAAGAGTCAGATGCTTAACTGACTGAGCCACCCACGTGCCCCTGGGGAAGTGTTTTAGACGTAGAATTTAGGTGTGTGTGTGTGTTTTTTTCCTTACGTTTTGTGTAATACAGGGGCTGAGCAACTCCTATTCTGACCTCAGTAATGAGGGCAAATTTTCTTGAATAATAGCAAATGATTACCCCTTCATGATAGAAGTACTTCCGTTATGAAAGGCAGAGGACTTTCCAGTGTTGGGTTGAGGATGGAGACAGATGTCCGAGGACAGGCTGTGTGTGTGTGTGTGTGTGTGTGTGTGTGTGTGTGTGTGTGTGTGGTGTGAAGAAGGAAGCGTAGCATGTTGTTCTTTTGGGCTGTCTCCAGCAGGGGAGTGGGGCTGCAGCACGGGGCTCTGTAGGCCAAGGCAGTGTGTGATCTGCTGGCCACTCCTTTTAGCCCCCTGTAGGGTCAGGGAAAGTAAACTCTTGCCTCTCTAGCATTCCTGGGTTCAGTTCTGACTGCATGAAATACCTTTGGTCTTTGAACCAACCTGCAGGAGGCCAAGTCAGCCTTTCCACAGAGGGCAAAGCCCAGAACTTTCCCTTGGGCTTTGTGGCGGAGTGAGAGAGGTAGGAGTCTGGCAGTGGACACTGTCTGGCTGGCTTCTCACTTCTCCAGAGGTGAGTGGTGGCCTCAGGGCCAGGTGAGGATACCATGGAAACTCCATGTTAGGTCTCCCCTTCTCTCCTGGCTCCTTTCTTCCAGGAAACGACTCACCCCCAGCATGTCAACTTGGTGAAGTCTCTCCCACCCCAACAAAAAAATCTAAACATTGGCCATCTCTCCCTTTATTCCATTTGTTGGCTCCTCGGGCCTCCTACCTCTCTGGATGTTCTTTCTCATCTATTTGGGCTTCCTTTTTTTGTCTTGCCTCTTAAATGTAGTGGTTTTCAGGGCATGTCCTCAGCACTTTATCCTTCCCGTTCTGTGCATTCTCACTGGAAAACTTCATCTTAAACTGCCTCGATGCTGCTAACTCATCACTTTACTTTTTTTTTTTTTTAATGTTTATTTATTTTTGAGAGAGAGAGAGAGACAGACAGACGGAGAGACAGGGCATGAGCAGGGGAGGGGCAAAGAGAGAGGGAGACGCAGAATCTGGAGCAGGCCCCAGGCCCTGAGCTGTCAGCACAGAGCCCAACTCGGGGCTTGAACTCACGAGCTGTGAGATCATGACCTGAGCTGGAGTTGGACACTTAACTGACTGAGCCATCCAGGCGCCTCTCATTGTTTTACTGCTAATTCAGACCTCCGTACTTTCTTTTAAGCCTTAATACCCAGTTGCTGAGAAACTTGACCTTTTATTCAGCATTTACTTGAATTCTTGAACTAGGCGCTAGGGTAGCAGAGTGAGCAAAATGGACATAATCCCTGGCTCCAAGGAGCTTATGGCCTAGAGGGGAAGGTAGACATTAATTAATAACACTGAGGGACGCCTGGGTGGCTCATTTGGTTAAGTGTCTGACTCTTTTTTTTTTTTT